TGGCATTCTATCCAGTTCTAGGCCGTTCTTTTAAAGATAAGTTTATATAAAAGGCAGGCAGGCTTTCTTACACTCACACACTCTGGGTTCATCTTAAAGCTGTACATGTGGGGACGGCCGGACAGATGTGGGGTCACCCCAAAGCTGTTTATGGGAGATTGAGCCGAAGGTCTGATAAATCGATCGTGTGAGGCCGAGGTTATTTACATTATATCTCTCACACGGCCAGAGATAAATGACTCTCTCCTCTATATGTGCTTCATCACACTCAACCTACTGCTCCTCTTCTCATCGCTTAAAGTCTATGCTCACACACACGCTCAAACTCACCAGGTGCATGAAACTTCATTACTGTGAAAACTATGATGGAGACAGAGCGGGACAGATAGGAAGAGAGAGGCCAAGATGGAAGGATGCAATCTTTGTGCATGCGAGTACTGTGGGAGGGAGTCACATGGGACAGATTTTGAAATGAGCAGAGCCAGTACAATCTATAAAGCTAAAGGTTTCTGTTTCCACAGAGAGCGTGTTATCATCAGGATGAGAGTACAGACCAGTGAGGACAGCTCAGACAGCTAACAACCCCCAAACTTCCCAGCAAAACTCCACTATCAAACCTCCACTGTCCAAAAGATTGGAGATATTCTGTCTGTGTCACTCTCTTCAGCTTCATGTCTTCCCTATTAGGCTGTGGAAGAACCCTTTGGTTCAGATATATCTAGTCAGTGAAATGCAGCATAACTGTTTTTAACAACACCCGTTGCAACCATCCAAAGCACCCTATTCATTCAGAATACCTTAGCAACCACATAGTAACACCCTGGGAACCACCCACACCATCATAGCATTGCCCTAGCAATCACTGGGATTATTATTGTTAACTAAGCTAAAACTATTAAAACATTTTTGATAATTTCTTTAAAATAACTTTGAATAAAGCTGAAATAAAATAATGAAAATAAATGACAATTTATATATAATTATATTTAAACATTTTGTTTATTTTTAATATATTAAAATATTTTTAAAAAATATGGTTTACCAAGCTAAAACTATTAAAACATTTTTGATAATTTTGAGATTAAATTGACATTATTTTTTAAATAAAGCTGAAATAAAATAAAATAAAATGTAAACATTAGATGAAAAATCTTCAACTTGACAATAACTGAAATAAGAAGAAAAAAAACTACTAACGGGAAATAAATAAAAAATAAAGCTGAACTAAAAAAAAAAAAAAAGATTAAACCCAAATTGTAATATTTAAAAAAATATTAAATTAAAAAATAAGATGAATAAAAACTGAAAATATAAAATAAATAATATAAAAGTTCATTTAAAATATTAATAAAAACTATAATAGCCTGTTTCCTTTTGATTATTAAAATTAGTAAAAGTCTCCTCGCTCCGCACTCCTACACAGCAACAGTATCGTGACAATTACTGCAATTTAAAATTACTTTTCTATTTGAATATATTTTCAAATGTAATTTATTTCTGTGATGAAAACTGAATTTTCAGCATCATTAGGGAAGTAGAGAACATGAATCATTTATTTAGTCTATTTTAGTCACCTAAAACAAAACCATTTTCTCTCTTCTCTTGTAACAGAGAAGAGAAAAAATGGTATTGTATCAAGGCTTGTAAAAAGAGAGTGCCGTTTTCCATCTTTTAATGACATTTACATAGGCCTAGGTGCAGTAATCCAACACAATTTAGATAAAACAAAACAGTTGCTCAAAATGAAAGTTATTTACCCTGATTCTGTATGCCTATGCTGTAATGCAAACGTACATTGTTTAATATTCCATTCAAGACAAATGTGAAACCAAGGAGGATCATTGGGATTACATTCAAAGCCTGTGCAGTTATTGACAATGTTTAAATACATCAAAATACTGATGTAGTAAAAGAAACAATTTCTTATACAGTTTCGAACGTTTGTATTACAGCATAACTATGGGATGCTCTCTCTCTCTCTCTCAATATATATATATACATACACATATTTTTAGAACAGTAATTTATAAAATATACTTTAATAACAAATATATTGTTTAATAATTATATTTCAGAATTTTAATTTATGCAGTTCATATATACAGTGCATCCGAAAAGTATTCACAGCGCTTTACTTTTTCCACATTTTGTTGTTACAGCCTTATTCCAAAATGAATTTAATTAATTATTTTCCTCAAAATTCTACAAACAATAACCCATAATGACAACGTGAAAGAAGTTTGCTTGAAATCTTTGCAAATATTAAAAATAAAAAAAATCACATGTACATAAGTATTCACAGCCTTTGCCATGACACTCAAAATTGAGCTCAGGTGCATACTGTTTTCACTGATCATCCTTGAGATGTTTCTACAACTTGATTGGAGTCCACCTGTGGTAAATTCAGTTGATTGGACATGATTTGGAAAGGCACACACCTGTCTATATAAGGTCCCACAGTTAACAGTGCATGTCAGAGCACAAACCAAGCCGTGAATCCAAGGAATTGTCTGTAGACCTCCGAGACAGGATTGTATTGAGGCACAGATCTGGGGAAGGGTACAGAAATATTTATGCAGCATTGAAGGTTCACAGAAGCATGTAGTCTCTGTTACCTTTAATGGAAGAAGTTTGAAACAACCAGGACTCTTCCTAGAGCTGGCCTCCTGGCCAAACTGAGCAAATGATGGAGAAGGGCCTTGTCTAGACTGGTGACCAAGAACCTGATGGTCACTCTAGTTGAGCTCCATGATCACATGTGCAGATGGGAGAAATCTACAGAAGGACAAACATCACTGCAACACTCCACCAATCTGGGCTTTATGGCGGTGTGGGCAAACTCAATCCTTTCCTCAGTGAAGACACCCCCTTTAATGAAAACCCAATCCATTGCATTCAGAACCTCAGACCGGGCAGAAGCTTCACTTTCCAACAGGACAATGAACCTAAACACACAGCAAGAGTGGCTTATAGACAACTCTGTGAATGTCCTTGAGTGGCCCAGCCACAGCCTGAGATTGAACCCAATCAAATATTTCTGGAGAAACCTGAAAATGTGCATCTACCCCCATCCAACCTGACAGAGCTTGAGAGGTGAAGAGGTGAGGAGAAGAATGGCAGATAATTGCCAAATGATGATGATCAAAGCTTGTTGCATCAAACCCCAAAAGATTTGAGGCTGTAATTGGTGCCAAAGGTGCTTCAACAAAGTATTGAGCAAAGGCTGTGAATATTTATGTACATGTGATTTTTTGTTTTGTTTTTTATTTTAATAAATTTGCAAAGATTTCAAACAAACTTCTTTCACATTGTCATTATGGGGTATTGTTTGTAGAATTTTAAGGAAAATAATGAATTGAATTCATTTTGGAATAAGGCTGTAACATAAAATGTGGAAAAATTGAAGCGCTGTGAATACTTTCCGGATGCACTGTATAATATACACTACCTATATATAATTTAGTTCTGTAATAATTGTAAAGAAATAACAGTATCAAATTATGTGTATTGTTATATATATATATATATATATACACACTACAATTATTAATTATTTTAAATGTATGTGTGTAATTAACATTTTTATAATTTTAAATACTTTATTAAATGTATTTACATTTATTAAAATATCGGTGTATAATTTATAATAAATGTATAATAAATTTTTATTATTTAATTAATAATTCATACCCATTATAGAAGTGCTGATCTTCTTAGCTGGTAAACCATCTATTTTTTCTTTACTGTCCCAATACTTATGGAGGGCACTGTATGTAATATAAATATATTTTTAATACAATTATTATTTAAAATATATATGAAGATATTCATAGTTTATAATTAAATAATTTTAAATTGATTAAAAGATTTGTGATACATTGGCTAATTCATGCAAATACAGTGAGAGAGAGAGAAAGAAAGAGGGTTGCTGAACTCATGCAGTCACCCATGCATTGTAACAGGATATGAAACTCAAGAGGAGAAATATAACTCTCATGTGAATGAGTCTGATGATTAATCTCTCTCTGCTGGGGTCACTCACATATTTGAAAGATTTTTATTGGTTATGGTTTTGAGTTTTAATAACATCCTCAGATCTAAGAGGTGAATTGTTGTCATCTGACTGTTATGTTCATTATGCTCTGGATCGTTATGATTTAAAAATGAGGGCTGCCATGACAATGATAAATGATTCTTTTCTAGGAATTCTTTTTCTAAAACAGTCCAGCCTTTGGCTGACTTACACAGGCCAACATTAAAACACACACACACACAAACACACACACACACACACACACACACACAAATACAAAACATATAAACAAACACAGAGAAAATATAAAGGTCATACAAAACAACAAGCAAAAATAATAGAACAAAAGCTAAAAATAATCTTTCAGAAATTAACCAAGTATTGCCAGCATAAACTGCATTATAACTTGTGTTGATGTTTTTTTGGATAAAACTCCAACACACTACCCCCTGAAAA